ATGACTCGTGCTTATTCCCCCACATCTGTGTCACCCTCAGGAAGGGTTCTGCGGGATTCAGAGTCCATGGTCCCGTCTCAGCTGGCCCCGGACAGTAACCCTCAGATCCTGGAGCACCATGCTCCCTGCAACGCACTCCATCCCCACAGCAGTTGTTGCCCGGACCCAGGACGAGCGGCAATCCGTGGCGGCGCTACCCCCACGATCCACAGATGACATCTGCCTCCTTTGTCTAATATTAATTGACCATAGAGACATGGGTTTATTTCTGGGCTCTCTATTCTGTTCCTTTGACCTATGTTTCTGTTCTTATGCCAGTACCCGACAGTTCTGATTCCAGTGGCCTTTGATGTCAGGTATTGTGATCCCTCCTCCTTTTTCTTTCCCAAAATTGCTGTGGCTATTCGGGGTTGTTTATGGTTCCATATAAATTTTTTTGAATGTTTGTTCTATGTCTGTGAAATACGTCATTGGTATTTTAATAGGGATTGCATTGAATCTATAAATTGCTTTGGGTAGTATGGACATTTTGATGATGTAAATTCTTCCAATCCATGAACATGGTATAAGCTTCCATTTATTTGTGTCTCCCTTAATTTCTTTCTTCAGTGTTGTATAGTTTTCTGCATAAAGGTCTTTTACCTCCTTGGTTTTTATTCCTAGGTACTTAGCGAAGGGAATTTTTTTCCAGATTTCTGATTCTGATATTTCATTGTTGGTGTACAAAAATGCCTTCGATTTCTGAATATTGATTTTGTGTCCCACTGTTTTGCCAAATTCATTTATTAGGTCTAGTTTTTTGGTGGAGTCTGTGGGGTTTTCTATGTACACTATCATGTCATCTGGAAATAATGATAGTTTTACTTCCCCCTTTCCAATTTGGATGCCTTTTCTTTCTTTTTCTGTCTGGTCACTGTTGCTAGGACTTCCAATACTTCATTGAATAGGAGTGGTGAAAGCGGACATCCTTGTCTTGTTCCTGATCTTAATGGGAAAGCTTTTAGTTTTTGTCCATTGAGTATGATGCTGGCTGTAGGTTTTTCATATATGGCCTTTATGTTGAAGTATGCCCCCTTTATTACCACTTTCCTGAGTGTTTTTATCATAAATGGGTGCTGTACCTTATCAAATGCTTTTTCCACATCTACTGATAACTGATATGATCATGTGGTTTTTGTCTTTCCTTTTGTTTATATGATGTATTACGTTTATTGGTCTGCAAATATTGAACCATCTCTGCATCCCTGGGATGAATCCCACTTGATCGTGGTGGATGATCTTTTTAATGTATTGCTGGATGCGGTTTGTCAATATTTTGTTGAAGATTTTGGCATCTGTGTTCAACAGTGATATTGGCCTGTAGTTTTCTTTGTTGTCGCAATAAGGGACTTTTATATGCAGTGTCTTCTAGAGCATGTTGTAGTTAGACAATTAGAGTGATCTGATGGCAGACTGCCAGGTATCACTCAGATTTTTAGAAGGTATCTCTGTTCAGAACCCAGTGGCTTATCTAACAGCAGACACTTTTGAATGGATATTAAAATGGTGTTTGTGGAGCAAAGTGTCAGAATTTGGCTTTAGTCCATTAATTTAGCCAAACCTACCTGGGGATGGTGGTAACAGCTGTAGGTCTTTGTTCCTCATGGTAAATTTGTGACAATTAATTCAATGATTAATCTTCTGAACAAGATACTTCTTTTAGAAACTATATACTTGCAATAAGTAGTTTTATTAAGTTAGGTTTAATTCTTCACTTCCCTCTAATAGGGCCAGCATGGTAACAGAGGCCTGGTCTCTGCCCTGAAAGAATTAAAGCATTCCCTTTTTACAGATGTGTTCATAATCTTACAATTTGGCTCTACTAGAGACACAGTACTAGTTACCATTCTGTTGGTGATATTTCTACGGAGAAGCTAGGGGGAGTCTAAGGCACAAATTAAGAAATGGGGCTGTGTGGGAAAATAATTTGCCTGAGGCCATAAAAGGCTTCCCAAAGCTGAAAGGCTTGGGAGAACAGGATAAATAGATGTTCCATTCTGGAGGATACTGTGGGGTCTGGAGGTGGGAATTGAGCAAGGAATAGAGGAAGTTGAGAAAATGGAATTCACAGCAGGAGGGAAAGGGAAAAGATGACGACAATCAGGCCAATCTTCCCCAAATAAGGGTGACAAACTAATCAGCTTCCTTGTGGGCGGAATCCAACCTCAACTGACACAGATGACTAAACAAGAGAGCACATTCCCTTAATTGGAGGAGAAAAAAAGGAAGATAGATGTTGAAAGGTCTGCCATTTATACTAGTTTACTAAAGAGGAAGTTCCTTTTTTTCTTTTTTCTTCATTAGTATAAAAATATTACAAACTTCAACCCAGTCAGGCTCGTCTCCAACACCACACTGAAAATGTTCTTGGTCTCCAATGGCTTTTTGCATCTAATGGAGACTTTACTGTCCCTTTCACTTGACTGCTAGGCAGAAGTAGACATAGTTGGCTGCTAGATCCTTTTTTTTTTTTTTTTTTTTTGATTGATTTTAGAGCGGAGGGGAACATGGATTTGTTGTCTCATTTATTATGTTTTTTGGGGGGCGGGTACTGATTTTTAAAAAAGACTTTATTTTTAAAGAGGACAAGAAAGGGAGGGAGGGAGAGAAACATCAGTATGAGAGATAAACATTAATCAGTTGCCTCTCATAAGTGTCCCATCAGGGGCCAAACCTGCAACCCAGGCATGTGTCCTTACCGAGGATCAAACCTGCAAACTTTCACTTTATAGGGTGACACTCAATGGAGCTATACCAGTCAGGGCTCACTGGTTGATTCTTGTATGTGCCTTGACCAGGGATCTAACCCTCAACCTTGGCATAGGGGGACAACACTCTAACCAACTAAGCTACCTGGCCAGGGCCTAGATCCTTCTTAAACATTCCTGCTCTTGGCTCTCTTGACACCTGACTGTGGCATTTCTCCTTCTCACTGGTTTCATGTCCTTGACTGGGCCTCTTCATATTGGTGATCTCCAGGCCTAGGTTCTGAGCCCTCTGCCTTTTTTCTTTTTTTAAATTTATTGATTTTAGAGAGAGGAAAGGGTAGGGGGAAAGATAGAAAAACATCAATTTGTTTTTCTACCCATTCATGCATTCATTGGCTGCTTATATGTGCCTTGGCTGGGGATTGAACCCAGAACCTTGGAATATTGGAATAATGCTTTAACCAACCAAGCTACCCAGCCAGGACCTGGGCCCTCTTTTCTTCTCCCTAGGTGACCTTATTCTTTCTAATGGTACTAAAACCCATCTCTAACACCCACAATTTCTCAGATCGCTAACTCCAGTCTACCTTTCCTTCAGACTCACACCTCCAACTTCCTATACTATTCCTGAACTTGGAAGTATCACAATGAACACAGCCAAAATGCTTTCTACTCACCAACCCTGCTTGATCCACGTTTTCCTGCCTCAGTAATGATACCACTACCTATCCACCTGCTAGAAAACTTGTCATTTTTGGTTCATTTCCTTCCTTCCCTCACATCTAATCCAACAGTCTTTTAATTCTACCTTCAAAATGCATCTCTAATTTATATACTACTTCCCAGTTCCATTGCCACTGGCCAGGGCAATCTGTTTTGTACCTTGTTCATTGCAATAGACTCTTGCTCTCTTCCAATCTACTCTCCATATAATAAATGGCTTTCTATTGCACTTAAGACACTATGTGAGCCCCTTACCAGGGCCTAAGGTGCACTTCAATAATCTGGCTTTTACTCATTTTATGCCATTCCCTTAGCTCACTACACATGACAGACATACTGGCCTTCTCTAAATACCTCAAATACATCCAAAACTTTCCTGCTCCACAGCATTAGCATGTTTTTCTGTTTCAGTTTTCCTCCTACTCTTAACCATGGCCTTCTTTTCATCTTTCAGGTCTCAACCTAAGCATTGTTCCCTAACATCTTATTTAAAACAAAATTCTCTACTGGATCCTTTATTTTTTTCCCCACAGTACTGGAATCAAATCCGTATTTTTTCATTTGCTGATTGTATTTCTAAGAAAGTTCCCAGAGGGCAGGGGCTCTGTCTGTTTTGTCCATCACATCTCTTACGATTTGGCACATAGTAAGGCTAGTTAAGGCTAGCGATGGGTATTGACACTGGAGGAAAGGAAAGGGTGCCCCTCTCGCCCAATTTAGGTAGCATCCCCCGCTTGACCAGTCCATGTGGCCAGGAGACAAGGTCTTGAAAGAATACGGCAAGCCCATGAGGGTATGTTGCTGAAGCATGGAGATGAGGAACAGTTCCACTAGAGGAAGAGCAGCAGCACGAACTGGTCCCAGGGGTTACTGTGAGCTGGGCACCAATCCCAATTTCTACCACACAGTATAATCGTATCTCCTGGCTTTTCTCCCATTACTTTAGTAATCATTTTTTTCCTTTACTTGCTTGAGCCAAGCCCTTCATCACTTATTGCTGGTTTGAAGAACCAGACACCTTAATGGCCCAAATATGTCAAATACACAATCTTACTTTCCTAACAAGGCTAGCAAATCCAATGATTTCATGACAATTCAACCAACATTTATAGGGCACTTACCATAAATGTCCAACATACTACTAAGAGCAGAAAAGAAGCTAGCAAACATTACCCCTGACAATGGTACTATGAGCTAACTTATGCCAATAACTGCTACTGTCTTAAACATGAGAATATGAGGGCAAGATTTGAAACCTGAATTGTATTAACAAAATATCCAGTCTTATCTCACAAAACAGTAATACAAAAAAACTAATAGTGAAAAGTTTTTATTTTATTTCCAAGATCAAATATTACAACAGGACATTTACATGTATTTATAAAAAATGCAGCAGTTGAATTTATAGATCAGAGGTTTCCTTGAGTTTGGTCCCTCTCTCAGCACAGTGAGCTGACGTCTTCAAAAGATTTACCGTCCCATTCCGCTCTTTCCCCCACCCGCTTGTCCCACCCCCCTCCCCAGTTCAAGTTGCAGTATCAATATAAAGCAACTGGTTACAACACAGCAAGAATATTCACAATTTGGTACAGCCAAAACCAGAGGATCACCAACTGAGAGAAAGATCCTTATTTTAGAAATGTACCTATAGACTCTGTGTATCTATAGATAGATCACACCCAGTTATCTAAGATTTCCCTGGTTTTAGAGCAAGTGGAAGTTCCATTGAGTCTTAGCCAGCAGTTACAGCTCTGTTTTATCTAATGGTATGTTTTTTTTCCTCTTAAAAGTTTAGATTTTCTACGGCCTCCTCCATGTGTCTTCAAATATAAGGTTTCCTCTAGCACCCTTATTATCACTTACTAGATATATCCGAGGGTCTCTAGTGTGTCTTGAACAAAAAAAATCTAGTGAATGATCCAGCTGCCCCTTACTCACTGGTCCCAAAGCCTTCTCCCCATTTCTAAGAGCTGCAGAAACAAATGGTATCTCCTAGCACCATGGGATTAAAAACCCAGAAAACTGAGAACTGCATGTGCACTTTAGGGAGCACTTGCCAGAAACACTGTAAATAGGAGCATTATCTCTGCCCATTATCTTCTTGGATTCAGTAACAAAGTTACGCTACCGATGAAATTTAGAGCCGTCCTGCATTAAGAATGCAAATCTCACTAAGACCACCACTTTGTCCAGAATAAGCTGAGTACACAAACATCCCAGGGAATCTCTACATACTGTTAGGAACTGCTTGAGAAACACTTTAAAGCAAATACCCCAAGTTGACTTCACTCAAGTCCCCAACCCACCCCCATCCCTATCCCCAAATAAATTTCATTCCTTGATTAACCTTTCTGAGTAAGATGGGAAGTAAGGTTTGAAAAATGACATGAAAAATGTTTAAAAAACACAACTAGTGAATTCATGCCAGAATTGGACACCTCCGATGATTTAAAATGTATTGTTCAAACTGAACTCATACAAAGCATGCACAGAGCCTACAAACACTTCTGAGTTTCCATGAAACAATCAATACCTACTCAAAAACAGACTTTTATTTCTTAAAGGGTTAAAAAAAAAAAAAAAAGACACCAGATGCTTAAAAATTGTTAACAATCAAAAGGAAAACCGTCCTAAGATTCTTAAAGGAGTGAATAAAATTTTGTCTAACAGATTCATGCCAAAGCTTGGATGGAAACTCCTCAAAGTCTAAGAATCCTGTTAGCATTAACTGGTATTCATCTCTCTAAACCTAAGACTAGCGGGTCATCTCATAGATTTACTGCTTCCCAGCAGATATTTTAAATTGCCTCTCCTAACCAAAGGAAAGTAACAAGGCCCAAGTCCCAAAACAGGTAAGATAAATGGCCCCTATTATAAGCTTACTACTCATTAGCTAAAAAGTGGAGGTCACACACTACTTTCATTCTACTTAGCAGGTAAAATAAGATTTTCTGGTGGCAAGTGGTCACTCCATGTGAAGTTTAACTTACAGAGCAATAAATTATCAAAGTTGTAAGAGCACATAATTAGTGTCAAAAACCTATTTATACTTTGAATCACACCATTTAATTTATTGATAGTTTCCATTATTAAGAACACAGAAGCTTTGAGAAAGCATACTATAAAACGATTTTGTTAAACAGCAATATATCCAACCAAGCATCAACATTTCAATGTCATTAACTTGAAATAGATCCTGGTGACATGTACTCTAAAGCCAGCATCTGTGACAGGAAAAAAAAAGCAGGATGGCAGGGAATGGTTCCAGATCAAGAATCTCTCCCTTATCAGTTAAGATGCCCGTACTGAGTCTATTAAAAAAAAAAAAAAAAAAAAGGCAAATAAAAAAGATATTAAGGGAGAATTCAGTTCCAGGTCAGAAGTTACCTAATGATTTGAAATGTTTCCCATTTTATTTACCACAACTAATAAATGAATGATTCATGATAGTTCAGTTAAATAACTTCTTTTAATGGAGATAAAAGTTTTATGTTCAGTCCAGCTTGACTATTATTTGAAAACCCAAGTGACCTTCTTAGGGATATAAAAATCTTCGGGCATTCTGATCTCTGTAGAGAAAATACCATTAAGCAAACAACAAAAACTTGCTGTCTTCTTGCAAAAGAATTAAGTACAGGCAACTTCCCATATTACTGGATTAATATGTGACTGTTCTTAAGCAAAATACTACCATTAGTATTTGTATCTCTAATCCTGCAAGTAAATGTGGTTATCTTTTGAAAGTATTTTACAGAAATGCTAAATTGTTTGATTAATGTAGTTTCTATTGGATTATCCAACTCTACCTTCAGATCATATGACAAAGAAAGGTGTGTACCAAATATCAGGTTTATGAAAATGACTGAGCAATACAAGAACATTCCGTAGGCCAAAAATGGGGTAGGGGAATCCTGGAGCTAGCTGTTCTATACTTGGAATTAATGCATTTTTAAGTGGAGAGAAAATGAGCTATAAAATTATGTTTGCCTCAAATTCTTCCTTTGTATATCCATTTATTTAAAAATTTTTAAATGTTACATATTAAAACTTAGAAATGAATTTCTCAAACATAGCCAATTTCACAAAAAATTATGACTAATTTTCAGAGAAAGGATTAAAAGATTTTTCTAATTAAGGGTCCCATATCATTATAGCTAATAACTTAAACCATAAGTTCATCTCAAGGGGCAAACTACCAAGGCCATCCTATCTCTATGAAAAATACTCTTGATTCTAAGCTGCCTCTCTAGCAGGACTGACACACAGAGGAGTCGAAGACCAAAATAACCATCATTAAAAGTACCAAATTTCTTGTAACAGGAGAAATCAACATATTGGCTTGGTATCCTCTGTTGGTTATTTGTAGTACTAAAGAACATTCTTGCCACTATTCAAAAATGTGTACAGTGCAATTAAGTTTTATGGCAAGACAATAACTGAAGTGCTAAGCAAGGCAAATCAATAAAGTTGAATATTCATAGTACACAGCTGTTTTTAAGCAGCCTTTTCATCAAGGCTTACGTTTTTGGAAAACTGTCATATTCATCAGAGGGTTGATTCTTCCACTCTCATTTACTTTTACAATATTACTTATTCATCAACCTGTATGCTATGATTTACTATGAAGTAGTTAAATGAAAGAGGGCGAGAAAGAGAGAATGATATAATGGAGATACACTCTATGGGATACAAACTATTTTTAAAAATCAGCTTAACTGGATCTAAAAAAGTTGTTTCTGCCAAAAATAAGTACATTTTACAACTTAAACAAATTGATTTCCTAATAATTGTTCAGTGAGTACAGTTCTTTGTTTAAGCACATAGGTAAAATAAAATTTAACTCTGGTGTCAGTGAAATATTTGGTTCTCCTTAATTACATTTTATTCATATTCAACCATGATTACGAATACTGCATTAAGTTTTTTAAATGAATGAATTGTGTTTAAAAGATCTGTAACTGTTACCCTCTCTTTTTTTGGAGACCTCAGTCAAGTGAGGTTAGTTAATGGGCAAATGAAACCGGGACACAGAAAAAAAAGCAAAGGAACTGATTAGGAAGTATACTTTTAATTAGCTTAGGGATAATATATAATGAAGAGGAGAAACTAGAAGCATAAAACTTTGGAGTGGAGAGGACCTCAGAGATAATTTAACTCAGCAGTCTACAATTTGTGGGTTCTGCAAGGGGTCTGCAATTCCATATGCACATTTATATTTTCTCCATCTATAAAATTCATGATACCAACACTTAACTCCACAGTTCCCCACCCCTGCCAAATTTTAAACCACAAGTCCTTTTACTTGAACAGACCGAGAACTCTTGATCTAGTCCAGTTCACTGTTAACTAGTAGCAGAGCTGTTACCCAAGTCTGCTTATGCCTACATACAGTGCCTTCCGCATATCATATATAACATACATTTAATTTGTACCTGGGTAGAGAAATTAAATCTTTCCTTCACTTTTTAGTCGCTAGTGGCTTCCTCTAGTATTTTCCTAAGTGTCCAGCGAGATCCCTGCTGGCTAAAATCTTTAGTCCTGGGATCAGTAATCCTTTCCTACTTGGGTATTAGGTATGCTTTACTGATAAATTTAATGCCCTAAGTAGTTACAAAAGTTGGAACTAAAGAATACTGGTGAGTCAAAAGAAAATTTGAGCTACAGTGTTTGCTACTTTTCAGTTTTTTATTTTTGTGAAGACTGTCCCAACTGAAGAAGCACACAGTATTCTTTCTCCTTCCTGTATGTCTATTACAATTATAAATTGTTTAAAAAACACAACTAGTGAAGTCATGCCAGTTGAGCCCCAGAAAGGTTAAGCATTTACATGTTCTCCAATTACCTCATGTGTAGGCTGTCTCTCCAACTGGGTAAAACAGGAAGGAACTAGATCTTAGATTTCAAGATGTTTGATTAAGGACTCAATAAATAACTGATTTATATAGTCAAGGAAGGAGAATTTTATACAATATTTAAAAACATATACATAAAAGGATTCAATAATCTGGTATGGGTGGAATACAGAAAAGATAACTATCTTTTCTGAAAAGTGGTTTTAAAAAGGTATTTTTTTTATCCTTTGTATTTATTCTTGGCAAGTAATGCCACCTAGGTATTTTCCTTTCACATTTTTATCAGTCCATCATTTCAAGAAAAGAATAATTAGCTCCTCAAAATAATGGTATAAATAAGAATTCATAGGCATAGCACGTATCCCACAAACTTTAGGGACACATAACCAAATGATACTTTACAGAGCCAAATAACAGGAAGATAACCCTTTAGACCAATTCCCCTACTGTAGGAGACAACAACATGGGAGTAAAAAGAACACAGACTCTCAAAATGCCAATTTTGATTTTGCCACTTACTGGTTTTGACATTCTGAACACATTCTCTGAACTTCAATTTTCTTTCTTATCTATAAAATGGGAAATACACATTTTGTAGAGTTCTAAGAAAGATTAAAGGAGAAAATGTACATCAGTTACCTTGCACATGCTAGTGACTCAAAATTAGTTCTCTGTTCTTCCCTCATTTGGCTTTTTTCTCTTTTCCGGTTCCTTCCTAAATCAATTTCAATAGAGGCTTCCTGTCACTTTTCCCCCAACTAGTTTTCATTTTATCTCCCTCTATTTGTCTTGTCACTTACTCACAAAATCTACTTTGTTCTTTTCCTCCCTTTTATAATCTCTTTCAAGCTGTTTCCAATACCTATAAGGAATGACTGTTTTAAACTACTTTTTCATTATCTTACTAACCTCATTTAATCTATTCAGTAAAACCACTCCTCCAAAGAGCAAAGAAATTTGCAGAGGAAATAAGACAAACTAGAGGAAGGATACTCCCTAAGTGAATTAAATTCTTGAGTAAAGCAATATTCCTTATTCACTCTTCCCATGTATAATCCATAATCCTTCCTTCCCATGGGCCTCTGTATCAAACCCAGGGTAATTACACTCCTGCCTCAAAATAAAACCCTCTAAATCTTGTACTCAACAACTCAGCTGTATCTAAGTTGAGTCAGTATCTCATGCCTCATCTCTTTAATATGTTTACTTAAATCACTTAATATATAATACTTAGTCATCTCATAGCTGAAAAAGTCACTTTGGTTTCTCATAAATGGATATGCCAGGGCTGAGCTTATCAAAAAGAACTACATCCTATCATTAATGAACATGTTGTCTCAAGTTCTCTAGACATGTTTTATAAAGAGAAGCTAATAGGTAAAAGAATAAAACAGAGTCCTATAAAGTTCTAGACTTCACATTTTTGACAGATTTGGGCTTTAGCTGTGACTTGACTTTGCTGAGTACAGATGGGTGCCATCACAGCACCAAAACTGGGCATAGCCTCACTTCTTACCCTGTACTTCCCTGAATTTTTAGATTCTGACCTTGTTTACTACTGACATTTTTTTTTACCCTCTAATGTATCTTTGACAGAATACAGCTCTATTCTTTAAATAGTAAGTCTATTATCCGAGTTCAGAGATACAACTGAGGAATTAACATGAAAACCGTATCTCCTCAATAATTCAGAAGCTGCTAGTTAGTCGGAAGAGCCTATATTACTCAATCACCAATCTAAAGAGAGAACTTTGACTCAAGGTATAAATGAAATTGTAATTATATAAATATATTTATAAATATTTATACAATTATATACTTATACATAAGCACTTACACAGACTTAGAAAAAATGTAAGAACATTAATCCAAAAGGACTCACTGAAGAATAAACAGAATTTTCCATGATTTCCTTGAGAAACATTACTTGTTCTTTAGGGAGAGTTCCCTCAAAATTCAACCATTAGAAACCATATTCTTTAATTGAGTACTAGCAACACATAAGCATCTTTTAAAAAAAATCCCCTAGTTACCCATTGAGTGACCTTAAAATAGATGGGAACCTAAAGTTCTCTGAGCAATAGCAATTTATGTCCCTCAAGTAGATGAATCAATCTATCTAAATCCCCAATTGATGGCATAGGTCCACCTTATATTAATTACTCTTTTACAGCAAGTTAAAGTTCTGATTTTGCCACCAGAATCACCCCTACCCCTTCAGAGGACTCTACTTTAAGCTCAAAATAAGAACTGAGCATATAGTGAAGCTGGTAAGTCAAATAGTGTTATGTAGATTCAAGATGGCATCTTCCAAACAACAGTGAGAAGAGCTTTCACTAACTACAATTTGAAAAAAACCCATACCTGAAGACTACTGGCAATGTTCCCCACCTCCTTTACTAAATGTTGGTTTATGACTTGAATTTAAAGGTCTTCACCTTGGACAGGCTTTCAGTTTTGATACCTTTTGCAAGAAAAAGCATGAGGAATTAAGCTCATTTAGTCACCAGAGCCTTTTAGAGACTGTTCCAACCAGGGGTAAAAACAAACCATTATTTCTAACCAAGGAAACATGGTTAGCTACTCTCAGCTACATACTTTTCCTCCCTGTCCCCGACACCAGGACATATATCAGTATGCCTAAAGCACATAGGACAATCCATAACCATAGTGGTTACAACTACAAGCCACTGTATTGCATGATTATCGAATAGCTGCCTTCTTTTAGATCACCTGGGGACCCAAACAATGGAAGGGCCAAAAGAACGAATATGCTGTCCTGGCAAAAACAGCAAGCACCTTCCTATCCAAGTTACCACAATATGCTCTCTGAAAGTCCATTCTGGGACTAGCAGGATCAATATAGTTTACAGAGTATTAATGAAGAAAGCTGTCACAGGCTCGGAAATTGAAAGCCATCCCATGCTATTCACTCAACATTTATTTAACACTCACACTTGCCAATAACACACCTCATGGAAATAATTCTAGCTGAGAGAATGGGAATCCTTTAAAAAAATTTTTAACTATGATGAGTAATAATTATAAGGGACGCTTTCTCAATGTAAACAAAAGCCTGGTATTTTGTTATGTGATATTTCTTACATGAACAATAAAACAAAACAAAGCAAAACGTGTGTTAAAGAATTTCTTCCCCCAACTAAAAATGGGACTTAGAAAAAACGGAGGCTGTTCTTATTCTGAATCTAGCCATTCCTTTACTAAAGAAGTCTGAGGACTAATGTTATCATTTGATCCCCAAAAAGTGCTGTGCAAGAGACCACTTATTGGAACACTCGTGTCCTGCTGCCAGTACTGGGGGGTCTTATCCTTACACTTCCATTTGGTCACCCAATTAAGAAAGAAAGAATAAGAAAAAGACGAAAATAGGAAAGGAGAGGGGAAAACAAAGGGGTGGGGGTGAAAGAGACTGATTATAGGAGAGAGCAAAGAATAAAAGCGAAGGCAGGTGACTTGCTTGCCCAACTTTGGCTCTATGGTCCTATGAGCCAAAATGCATACTCAGTGACTTGGTATCTCACAGGAAAAGGGAAAAAAGGGGTAAGCTGAGAGAGGTCAGGCCATGATGTTAATTTCTTTCCTGTACAAACACAGTCTCTTGAGGACAAAGGCCTGCCTCTTGTAATGTAATGTCATAGTCCAGATGAGAGAGTTTCCTTCGAGGGAAGTTGGTGAGAAGTTCAAAACGTTCATTTGGATATCCTTTAGACTGGACATGCTTCACCAAAGCCTACGAAAAGCAATGGAAAGTCAAGGCTGTTAGATGGAAATAGAAAGAGCATGTTAAAGAATTACATATATAACATTCATTTTTATCGTATTAGATAAGATAGGAAGTTTAAGTTACTCTTTCAGATAACCAAAGCTTACACTTTTGGAAGGGCCAACATAACCCCTGGGATGGGGAGATGATAAATCTGTATCCAATAATTTAGGACTATTAAGCGACACTGAAGTATACAGGGTTATTACTGTTTCCTCAGTAAACAAACCCACTATCTATAAAATTAGTGTCCTTAGTTTTAAACATTCGATCAGCTTTCCCTTCCTTCATTCTACCTATAGCCAATCTTGCCACCAGTGCACTAATCCCTACTTGCGTTCTCAGAAACCACGCCCCTACAGAACGCCTCTGCTTTTACAGGTGTCTTCAACATCTCACTCTCTACACACGCCTTCCATCAGACTTAACATGCTCAGTTCTCCTTCAGATGTCTTCCCCACTCTGATTACTGCTCACCCACCTCTAGCTTCACAACAAAACTTCTCAAAAAAGTGGTCTACCCATGCTCCATCCATTGTCTCATCTCACATTCCCTTCCAAATACTGGACCTCGGGGACAGTTTGGGTATCAGCACCACCAGCCAGATCTGGCTTGCAGTCTAGTCACACAGTCTTCAAAAATCAGACCATCTCCAGCCAGAGAAAATGGCCAGGAATAAACACCCACCCAAGGGGGATTCATTCATAGGCTAAGCTAAGCTAGTCAGACTCATTCTCTTTTCCAGGAATTGAAAAAGACAAAGGAAAGGCCCATCCGCTGTAGACTTTAAAGGAAAAGGTCCTCAGCATCACTACGATGGACCAACAAAAGCGATCGGTATACAGAGAGAATGGTATGAAGCAGAGAATTACAAGGGGGAAACCAAACCAACCCCATGAGAAAAATACACAGATTTTTCTTGGTTCTTAACCATTTTGCAGTTCCAGCTACTAGGAAAACCTGAAGCCCTGACTAATAGTCTTCACCTTCCCATTTCCGGGTAAGGATTTTGGCTGGGAAATGAAATGCAGCCATGAAATTAAAAAGCTTTGATTGGAACAGACCCTGTGTGACTTGCCTAAAATAATTCAGGAAGGAAATATACTAATTAGAATTAAGATTAACCTCAATTAACACTCCAGTTAGAGGTCAGAATGAATACCTAATACTTATTTCAAAGAATCATCAAGTCAATTACACCAATTAACTGGTTTGCTCCTTCAAGCAAGTGTTCCCAATTAGATATACTCACTAGCAATTTAGCTTGCTCTGGAAGAGTGATCTGTTCCCTTTTTCCATCTGGATACCGCAACATCAGCTGTGCTTTTGGTCCTAGGGTAAAAAAAACAAAACAAACAAACAAATAACAGCAGCAAAAAAAACAGAGGCTTAAAAGACTAATTTAAACAAATAAATACATCCCTTCAGTAATATTCAAGTTTCAAGTACAGTAAGTCTAGAACATAACTCACCATTTATGTCTGTGCCCTCTACTAGTCCATCTGATTTTTCAGGTGACATCTCCAATATTTCTGAATCCATGGCTGGCAATCCTTGGTGGTTTGTGGTTGTTCCAGGCTCAGTTCTGACTGGGGGCTCAGTCAGCAGCCTTCTGTTCTCCTCTTTTCTATGCCCCAAATCTTTGTGGGGAGACTTTCTGGACTTGGCAAGATTCTCTATTTCCTCTTCTTCATCAGAGCCACAAACAGATATGAATTCCTCACTGCCAGAAAAAAGTTCAGATTCAGATTCTTCATCTGAGCGGCTATCCTGTTTTGTCTGTGATGAATCAAAATGTGTCTCTTGCAAGGAGGCTCTGATGGCAGCTTCTAGCTGGCTGTCTTCACTTGCATCTATAAGGCTCTCCTGCAAGACGCAGTCATAAAACATGGGTGGAAAGAAAAAGAAAACAGTTAAACCAAAAAATAGATAGCCAAGTCAAATAGGGCCTAAGAAATATGTTAGTCAGCTTGCCAGTATTATTTTCTACTAAATTTTCTACTAGTTGAGGGCAATGACTTTGTCTTACACAACCAAATTGGAATGGATAGTTTAAAAACAAAAATAAAAACCATCATACCAGCTGGCATAATGATGTTGCAAGCACAGGGGAGTTTTCTGCATCAAAATGAGTAAAATTAAGAAAATAGTTTATTGCCTGCCCAGAAAAAGACAAGAATTAAGGTTTTAAATATAAAGCCAAAAAATGACTATGCAAAGAGCATGTATACCTTGCTCACCGTTATATTCTTCAATTAGCATTGTTTGCCACAGAGATGAATAAATAACTCATTGCCCTGGCTGGTGTGGCTCAGTGGATTGAGTGCCGGACTGCGAAGCAAAGGATTGCCAGTTCGATTCCCAGTCAGGGCACATGCCTGGGTTGTGGGCCAGGTCCCCAGCTAGGCGGGCATGAGAGGCAACCATACATCAATGTTTCTCTCCCACTCTCCCTCCCTTCCCCTCTCTCTGACAATAAATAAATAAAATCTTTTTTAAAAAAATGAAGGCAAATGGCTTTAAACAAACAAATAAATAACTCCGTAATTATCATTTTGGAAAAAAAAAAAAAAAACACCAACAGATCTCTTACTTTTAAAACACCATACAATAAATTGGGAAAAACAACAACTATATTTTCCCAAGCTTACTTACAATAAGATTTTCATTGTGATCATGAGAAATGCAAATGTAATAGTTTCTTTTTTGATAAAGTTCTAAAGCCACAGATTTCATTAAACTTACTGAATCACAAAATATGGGTTGTTTGCGAAAACAATCTTGAGAAAGAAGAACAAGATTGAAGGTGTCAGACTCCCTTATTTCAAACTGTTTTACAAAGCTATAGCAATTAAACAATATGGTGCTGGAATAAAAACAGACACAGAACAAGGGAACAGAACAGAGACCCAAGAAATAAACCCATGCTTATATGGTCAATTAATCTACAGTCAAAGGAGGCAAGAACACATTAGTGGGGAAAAGATAGTCTCTTCAATAAATGGTGTTGGGAAAATTGGATATCCACATGCCAGAAAACAAAACAAGCCCACTTTCTTGCACCACATACAGGAATAACCTCAAAATGGATTAAAAACTTAAATGTAAGGCCTGATAACATCTGATAAGGGGTTAATATCCAAAATATATAAAGAACTCATACAACTCAACATCAAAAACACAAATAATCCTATTAAAAAATGGGCAGAAAACCTGAATAGGCAGGCATCTCTCCAACGAATGCAAAAAGATGCTCAACATCACTAATCATCAGGAAAATGCAAATCAAAGCCACAAAGAGATATCACCTCACACTGTTAGAATGGCTTCATCAAAAAGACAATAAAGAACAAGTGTTGGGAAAGATATGAAGAAAAGGGAATCTCAGTGTTCTGCTGGTAGGATTATAAACTAGTGCAACTACTATGAAAAACAGTCTGGCAGTTTGTCAAAAAAATTAAAAATAGAACTACCATGTAACCCAGCAATTCAACTTATGGGTATTCATCAAAAAACAAACAAATAAAAAAACAAAATGCTAATTTGAAAAGATATCTATATCTATAGATATAGATATCTATATATATGCATCCTATTTCACTGCAGCATTGTTTATAATAGCCAAGATATGGAAATAATCTATGTGTCCATCAACAGATGAATGGATAAAGAAAATGTGGTACATACATACAATGGAATCCTACTCAGCCACAAAAAAGAATAAAATCTTGTCATTTGTGGCGTGGATGGACCTAGAAAGTATTATGCTAAGTAAAATACGTCAGTAGGAGACAGATGGAATCTGATTTCGCTTACGTGTATAATCTAAAAAAACAAAAAACAAATAAAACTAAGCAGAAACAAACTCACAGACACAGAGAACAAACCAGCAGTTGCCAGGGGGGAATTGGGTGAGGTATTGGGCAAAAATTAATAAGTACAAACTTCCACTTATAAAATAAGTCATAGGTATGTGATATATAGTACAGGGAATATAATCAATAATTTGTAATAATGATATATGATGACAGTAGACTTACTGTGGTGATCACTTCATAAGGTATATAAATGTTAAATTAGGATGTTGTAAACCTGAAACTAATGATGTAGGTCAACTATAATTTTAAAATTAAAAAACAATAAAATAAAAACTAAACTTAAAAAGAAGCACTGTTTGAGTGGGAATTGAGATTCTAACTTTAAAAAAACTATCCAAAAAGAATCTGTAAGATAACCAAAAGCTGAACACCAGATATCTCATGATATTAAATAATTAGTATTAATTTTTAAAGGGCGTGTTAATGGTATTGTGATTGTGTTTTAAAAAAGAGCCTTGCCTGGGCTGGTGTGGCTCAGTTGGTTGGAGCATTATCTGGTAAACCGAAAGGTGGGTTTGATTCCCAGTCTGGGCATGTACAAGAGGCAACGAACTGATATTTCTCTCACATCGTGTTCTCTTCCTCTCTTTCTCCCTCCCTTCTTCTCAAAGCATGTCCTCAGGTGAGGAAAAAACAGTAATGAAAAAAGTAAAAAGAGCCTGTGTCTACAGAGAACAGGCTGACAGCTGTCAGAGAAGAGGCGGTTTGGGGGCTGTGTGAAAAAGGTAAAGGGATCAAGTTAAAAAAAACAACAACTCATAGACACAGACAATAGCATGGTGATTACCAGAGGGAAAGGGGGATGGGGTAAGGTAGAAGAGGGTAAAGGGGGGATAAACAGTGATGGAAAGAGGCTCAGGGGGGTGAACACACAACACAATATACAGATCATGTATTACAGAATGGTACCCTTGAAATCTGTATTAACTAATGTCACCCCAATAAATTTAATAATTAAAAATAAATAAAACTTTTACTTGAAGGTCTTAAAAAAAAAAAAGAGACTTTATCTTTTGAAGATACATGCCAAAGTACAATGAGTGAAACCACAAAGTCTGAGATTTGCTACAAAATAATGTGAACAAGATGGGATAGAGATAAAACAAGACTGGCCACTTGCTGATTATTACCAAAATGAATTAATGGATACATAGAGGTTCAATAAGTTCCTTGTAGTTCTGAGTATCTTTAAAATTTTCCAAAATAAAAAGGTAAAACATGTGTGAGCTGCAAACAAAAAACAAGAACAAAAAAACTAAAGGAATCTCATTTTGGCTTTCACTATCTGCCAACACTATAGCAAGATACAAAGTTAAGGTTAATTTATATCACACACACATATATACACAGAGCACATACATGTGGCCATATGACCTGCAATGGCTTAGGTGGACTGCAGGTTTATAACAATGACATTGCACAGCACATCGCTTGATTTTAAAGATTGTCACCATGGCAGACACTGCTGGCCTCCGATCCAATATCCATTCTCCTGATTCCTTACTTACAGAATCCTAATAATGTCTATAAAAGAAAACATGTTAGGCTTAAAAAATCCATTTATCAGTTTCCCTTGCAGTTACAAAAAAAGTGTGGTTACAGAGCTAAAGCAGCACTTACAGAGGAAGTATAGAATTAAATGCCTATGTTAGAAAAAAAATGGTCTCAATTAATCCTTAAGTTTCTATATTAAATAAAAAAGTACCCACACAGAATAACAAAATAAAATTAAACCCAACTACAAAGAGGAAAAAAGAGAAAAGACAGAAATCAATCAATGATGTAGAAAACAGAAGAAAAATCAATGAAACCAAAAGCTTTTACATTAATAAAACTGATAGGCCTCTAGAGCCAGGCTGTCAGAAAAAGAGAAGCCACAAATTACTAGAACAGGATTGAGAGAGGGGACATCACTACAGACACTACAAGGAATTACAAGGAAATATAATCAACAAGTTTAGGTAAAATGGACAAATCCTTAGAAAGACACAATCTACTAAAGTTCACTAAATTGGAAATACAAATCTGAGTAGTCCTATATCTATTAATGAAATTGAATTTGTAGTTTATAACCTCCCACAAAGAAAACTCTACGCCTAGATTGATTTTCACTGGGGTATGTTATCAAATATTACGGAAGAAATAATGTCAGTTCTACCCAAACTCTTCCCGAAAACACAAAAAGAAACTCTTCCCAATTCACTGTGAGGCCAACATAACCTGATAGCAAAACCAGGCAAAGAATTACAAGGAAAACAAACAAACAAACAAATTACAAACAATTTCTTTCATGAACATTGACACAAAAATTCTTGATGGGATTTTAGCAACTCAAACTCAGTAATATATTAAGTAGTAATGTATCTGTTTTAGCAGTAATGAAAAGTAGGTTTAACATTAAAAAACCAACCAATGGAGTTCACTAAAAATAGAAAATCATATGATTATCTCAATAGCTGTGAAAAGCCACGGGACAAAATCCCCTTAAAATAAACTCAGCAAACTAGGAACAAAAGGAACTTCCCTGACCTTGGAAAGTGTATCTACAAGAAACACAAAGCTAGGATCAAATTTAATGGTGAGAGACAATACGTTCACCTCAGCACTAGAAGCAAGGATGTCTAATAGCTCACTACTTCTATTTAACTTTGTGCTTGAGGTCCTAACTAAGAAAAAAATAAAAGGTAAGAGATTGGAAAGGAAGACACAAAATAAGTCTATTTGTGGACAATATGACTGTTCGTATAGAAAATTCAAAAGTATCTACAAAAAAGCAACTGGGACAAGTGAGTTTAGCAAGGTTGCAGGCTAGAAGGTCAATATATAAAAACTACAAAATATTGCTGAGAAAAATTAAAGGCTAACATAAATGAAATATACTATATGCCATGTTGACAGATCAGCAGGCTCATTGTTAGGATGTCATTTCTCTCCAAAATGATCCACTCAGTCAATGCAATTCCAATCAGAGTCCTAGCAGCTTTCTTTGCAGAAAGTGACAAGCTGATTCTAAAACTTATATACGCAAAGGACCTGAAAAAAAACAACTACAAAGCTGAAGGACTTAATCATGAGATTTCCATACTTATTATAAAACTATAGTAATCATTAAGACAGTGAAATACTGGTGTAAAGTAAGGTGCATCAATCACTAGAAAGAATAGAGTCTATAAACCCATGCATATATGATCAATTTCTGACAAAGGTACAAATGCAATTTAATGGGGAAGTGATAACCTCTCCACAATGATGATGGAACAATTGCATACCCATAGGCAAACAAACAGGAAAACCAAGCTAGACCCTACCCTAACACCATATACACAAATTAATTCAAACAGGATCACTGACTTAAGAGCTAAAACTATAAAAAGAGATTTATTAGATAAGATTTTTAAAAGCACAATACAAGAACAATGTTTTAGTTCTGCACTTTTGTGTTCACCTAAATAAAACTGCTCTGCGTAATGAGAGGAGAAAATTCCACACCACCCCTTGGCAAGCATCCACAGCCTTTCCTTAAATGTCCACATTATTCTAAGTGATTACTTAAGTAACTGTTTTATCACTGCACGATATGCACTGTTAAAGTCTTACTTTCTAAATTAGTTTTATCTTCATTGCCAGTTAAACCCTAATAGCTCATATAACCAATGTGAAATTCTGGTATCTCTGTAGGGTCTCTTGCAATTAATCTTCATATCAGTTCAACTAGGTATGCTTAAAAATAGCATACTACAGAAATTAAGTATAAAAATAATCTCTGGATGCCCTGACTGGTGTGGCTCAGGAAGCTGGGGGCATTGTCCTGCAAACTAAAAGTCTCCAGGTCAATTCCCAGTCAGGGCACAAGCCTGGGTTGCACAGTTGGGGGCATATGAGAGGCAACTGATCACTGTGGTTCTCTCCCTCTCTTTCTCCCTTCCTTCCCCTTCCCCTAAAAATAAATACATAAAAGCAAGAGGAGGGAGGGAGGAAGGGAGGGAGGGAGGGGAAATACTCTCTGGGTGGTTCAGAGAGCCAGGCCCTAAAGCTATATATCAGTAATAATGACCAACTATACCATCAGAGTTTTCTAGCAAAATGCTATTTTTTACTGCTCCTTAGACCCAGACACCCCAGCAATGCTGCCCTCAAAAGAGGTGGATTCCTCACTGGGGCTTGCCAAATCAGTTCTCACTGCTACATATTCACATTGTTTATTTCTAAACTCAGATCTTAGGTCACATGCCTATACCCTAGCTGCAAGGCAGACTGGGAATATGAATCTTACGATTTCACTGAAAAGGCAAAACCCGCATGTGGGAAATTAATCAAATTGTAAAAAAAGGCACCTAAGATGTTATACAGCCACAAATTATAACTGTCCAATGCTTACATTATTATCTTTACCATCTTAGGCTCAAACATATTATACAAGATATCTACATACAATTACACTTAATCACCCATTTTCACTTCTTAGTCATACTTACTGAACGGGCACATTTTTTGGGGGGACTGTTAGAAAGTCCATCCAGTTGCCCATGTTCACCCAGAAATCCCGTCACTTGGTCCAAGAAAGAAGAAACATCTAACTGGTGCCACTCTACTAGCTTCTGACCTAAAAATTAAAAACCAGGATATATAAATATAATGAAATCAATACACCGCAACATTCTCTTTTAAGTATTACTTTAAATATTTGTATAATTAAAATTTTGGGAACACAGATCCCCATCCCTCACCAGTTTAAGTTACAGAACATTTCCATAACCTAAAGAATACATTAATTATAGCCCACCTAAGATTCCCAGCCATGAGGCAACTTCTTTATTTGCTGGTATCACTTATTGCCATTTAGGAAGAAGAGATTCAAACCAAGCAAAATCTTAATAAAACTCAATTCATTAATAATAAAACCAGCTCTATACTCTGTTCTCTGGTGGGTTTACAGCGAGTACCTGAACATTCTTAATATTTTAATAATACAAAACCTAAGGGGATCCCTTATAATATGACAAGAAAAAGTTGTTTTTTTGAAAGAACAGAACTATAAAATATAAAATACTATCATCTCTGTAGGGTCTCTTGCAATTAATCTTCATATCAGTTCAAATAGGTATGCTTAAAAATAGCATACTACAGAAATTAAGTATAAAAATAATCTCTGGGTGCCCTGACTGGTGTGGCTCAGGAAGCTGGCGGCATTGTCCTGCAAACCGAAAGTCTCCAGGTCAATTCCCAGTCAGGGCACAAGCCTGGGTTGCACAGTTGGGGGCATGTCAGAAACAGACTCCCTAACACATTTCAATAGATGTTTAAGTGATTCTAAAGGGCATCAATAAAAACTCTTCACCTAAATTATTACAAAGAATTCTGAAACAGGATCCAGGCAAATATTAAAGATAATTATTTAGGTAACTGAAAAATAAGTCATAGGTCAAATGCTATAAGCTAATATAAATCTTACCTGTCCGTGGATCTAAGATGGAAACATAGGGGAAATCCCCTAGCTTATAAAACTGTATATATCTCTGACCTTCCTCACTGTCATGATAAACCTGTTAAATCATTGATATAAAAAAGAAAAGTCAACCTCTAAAAAAAGTACCAATTACATCCTTGCTATCAACAATTATTTCTCCAAATATAACTTTGGTATATGTTAGGATCTCATTCCTACATTAAGGAGAAAATGAAGGTCATCTGGTGTAAACTCCCTCAACTTCCTGCCCTCGGTTCCTCTGAAAACTTGTATATGAATCCATTTTTCCTCTATTCCCAGTTCAGAAGAGATACTGCTCTTTCTAATCAAGTTATTATACATCTTAATAAGTCACAACATATTAAGATGATTATCTTCAGTGGCACAGATGTTAACAGTTGCAAAATAAAAAGTTACTATTCAGAAAAGATAATACTCAATTTAGGACTGTAAAACATGAAGAAGTAAATTAAAAACATTAACAGCATTATCTTACAGTGAGAAAAAAATTAAATTCATTCAGACATTTTTATTTTCTAAAATTTTTCATAAAATAAAAATTTGAGCAAGACTCTCTAATCTTAGCTTGGTAATTTATATAAAAAGAAAGTAGAGCGACCATGACTAAGTGATAAGCCTAAGTACATATAGTTAAAAAGTATCAAATTCAGGCTAATATCCAAGTCTTAGTCAAATGTTTTTCCATTACTCAGGATCTACATTTGCACTGTCAATTATAGTAGCCACTATAAAATGTGCCATTGAAGTACTTGAATTATGGCTATTCTGAACTGAATAAGTATATACGCACCAGATCTTGAAGACTTAACATATAAACAAAAAAAATCAAAACATCTCAATATTTTAATATTAGTTTTATATTATAGATTTTTAAATATATTAAAATTAATCTCACCTGTTTCTTTTAACCTTTTTTAATGTGGCTAGTAGAAAACTTTTAATTATATATGTGGTTCACCTTATACTCCTATTGAGTGGTACAGCTCTACACTTTAACAACATATTTAAGATCTTCCGAGATATGAATGTTAAATGGTTACATAGCTTGGTTCTTTCTTCCCCTCTTCCCTTGAGAGTTCTTCACTGCAGCCCTAATTTTCCTTTGTCCTTACTATTTCAGCCATTACAGGTGGTTTTACTTTTTAATATGCTGTAATTTAACTCAGTTATTAATTTTTTCCAGTTTATAGCTGAATTCCTCCTTCTCAACATTCCATATTACAAAAGTAAAATACTACTAAAACTTTGATTAACTCTCCTCACCTGCCAGAAAATGAAATGTTCCCGGATAATATTCTTCACAGCTTCATTGCTCCATACATCACGGTTGAGGCACTGGCATGCAAAGTCTTGTACATTTTGAATGTTTATCATCAGCCACTTATTCTGCATCTGGCCACACTCTTTGGCCTGTAAGAGTAAAGTTACACAACACTTGTTAGAAATAATTTCTACTTGGTGATTGATATGATTCAGAGTTCAGAAACTGTCATCTTTTCATTTAAATACTACTAAGTTTTTTTTCTCAAGTACAATATCTAGAGTTTTTGGTATCTATACATTATTTACATTAATTTGCTTGGGTATATATAATTATACTACCCACTTTCAAGCATTTTTCAAATTTAAAGAAACTGTTAAAGTTATAATGGCTAGATTTTTACTGTACATTTAAACATCTGAAACATAATTATAAAAACTTAAGGTCAACAAGTCACATAATCATATCACTTGTCTCTTTCAATCCTTACCCAAAACTATAACATCTCCTTTTTAATAGATATAACCAGTATGTGTATATTATTTTCTTTTATTTTCTTCACCATCGTATCGATCCACATTTCCAAATATCATATTCATCTCAATTATTAGGCATGTGCTATTTTATAGAATCACCCTAAACATTTCTGTAAAAGCTGATGAGGGTATTTTCTCTTAGGGTTATTTTCCTAGGAATGAATGTTATCAGAATGATCTTTAAAAGACTGCCCAATTTATAGCACAAATATTAATCACGAGTGTGTATTTTTTTCTTAATAGTTCCTCATCACCATAAAAACCTAAAAATGTTGTTGAATACAAAAGATTGGCAGAAAAGCAAATGAGCAAATGCTTCCTTAAACCTCTGCATAGGAACAATGAAGTGAAAGCCCTGGGTTTGAGTAATTTTATCTTTGAACAATATTCTTTTTCCTGTAAGTTTGATAGAGGAAAATCTTAGGAATGAATTAACTCATTCATTTTGGAAGTAGTGGACAATGTAAGACTATATTCTGCTTTAAAAAGATTTGCACAGTCTTACAGATACCATTATCATATTTTGTATAAATCCCGCAGAGAAAATCACTTTCTCATATTCACTGTTGATCCCACAGGTTCCGAGCTCAGAAAGGAAGTATCTCTGTATTGAGCTAGAAAGCTGTATTTAACTGGTCAAAAAGCTTATTTTAAATGATACAAATAAAATAAAATTACTCCTTGCTCCTTAGAAGTATCAGTGTTCAACTTCCTTACCTAGAGCATGCACAAGGATTTAATAAATGGGTGATAAATGAGTAACTGTACTGCCTTAACTGAAGAAAAAGTATTTGGGAATAAAGATAAAAATTAACACACATTTCTAAAAAACAGACTGGAGAGTACTTATCCCTGTAACAGGGTAAATTTACATGAGTCTGCTTAAACTACAGCACTGACAAGAAAAAAATTAAGTCCAGAGTTTAAAAATGATGGGAGAGTCATTTGCTTTGCCTTTAAAAATTCATTTATTCACATTTATACTTTCATTAATTCAGATTCATTTTTTCAACAAATACTGATTGAGTACCCACCATGTTGCAGGTACAGGTATAGATACTGGAATTACAGCAGTTACAAAACACAAAACTACCTGCCTTCATGAAGCATACACTGGGAAGAAACCTTGTATCAATCAGTACAAGAAACTGAAGATGCTGTTAAAAAATTACTGCTAGAAGGAAGGGCCCAAAGAAGACATGAATTTTATGCAAAGCAACAATATTTGGAGGGACTATAAGAGAGTCTTACACAATCTCACTAAGTATACTAATTATGTTAGTCGAGGACTAGAGGTAAGAGTGGGCCATGGGACAGATGATGAACCTTCCCTCTTGGAATCTATTAGGTTGTTCTGAATCAACATTTAAAAGCCATTCATTATAGGGAGATCCAAGGACAAGTGTGGCTGCACCAAATACAGAGGTATATGATATGGCTTATATGTGACAAGGGGGAAACAATGGGAGACTAACAATTCTCCCAGTCCCAGACAGACCACTGAAGTAAGAAAATAAAAGATACAGAGGAAAAAAAATTTGTTTCCGTAATAAATACATATGCATAAAGTCAAGAAGGAAATATAATAGGAAGACTTTTTTTTCTCCCTTTTGCAAAAGCAAGCTTTATTTTTTATTCTTATGAGATGGCAAGGTAAGATTAATTTTTCCTAACAATTCCACTAAAAGTCACAGTGTTGTTGAGGTACTGATACACGCAGTTGTCAAAAGAATCAGTATCATGTTTTACAGCAACAAATACAGGCTTCACAAGCGCAACTTTTTTTCCTCAAAAATGTTTTACTGTTTAGGTTTGTCTGCTTTTAACTGGTATGCATGTCTAACTCCCATATTATTTCTCTGGATTTCCAGTTAGATTGAGCTAAAGCCAATTCTCCTGTCTCTGAAGTTACAAGGCTCCTCTCTTGCTACTGTTGAATTGTTTGTTCCAGGTGATTTCTCCACAATTTCGTTGTCATTCCAGGTTGTTCCTGGGAGGTCAGTGTGACGTCCACTCACTCTTCCGCCATCTTGATTCTCCCCTGAACACTACTTTTTAATGAAAATTATGATTGTACTATTTTTCTTTACTAGTTTTCTATTTTTATTGTTTGCCAAATGTGAAAAAAACTACATACAAGCTATATGTAAAGTTTATTTAGAGAAAGTTTATCTTATATATTTTATTATTGAATTGGTTCTTTACATTTGTTTTGTTTTTTTTAAAGGTTTTACTTATTTACTTTTAGAGGGGAAGGGAGGGGGAGAGGGAAATATCAATGTGTGGTTGTCTCTTGTGTGCCCCCTACTGGGGACCTGGCCCGCAACCCAGGCATGTGCCCCTGACTGGGAATAGAAGCAGAGGCCCTTTGGTTTGCAGGCCAGCACTCAGTCCACTGAGCCACACCAGCCAGGGCTACAGTATTTATAAAAGTATGGCTCAGATCTACAAAAATACCTAAAATATTTTTACTTGCATTTACAGCAGGACTTTTGAAATTATCGAAGTATTATTAAGTAATTAGGACTAGGTACATGTGTAATTAAATGGCAACAAATAAATATCAATTTCTTATGAAAACAGGGACCATTATGAAAATTGTTCTGATTCTTTCTGTACAATATACCCCAGATTATGCCATTCAATCATTTAATGAAGATTTAATGAGGGTCAATTATGTGCCTAAAATTCTTCTAGGCATTGACTACAACGATAAACAAAAAAGTGTGTTCATGGAACTTACAGGCTAAATATTCCCTTGCCTAGGTCAGATCATTCAATCTAACTGGCTCACTCAGTTCCAGCTATACTGATTTTCCTGGCTGGACCAGAAATATACCCTAGTTCCTTCCAACATCAGTACCTTACTATCTGCTCTACTCCGAGATGTTCCTATGGTTTACATTCCTTCACTTCAGGTTTCTACTCAAATCTTATCCTTTCATAATCTTTCTTCCCTGATCCTCCTATCTAAAAATAGTCCTCTCTCCTCATAATTACAAACCTATGTGAAACCTAGTCAATCAACCCTGCTTTTAATTTTGCTTGTAAGTAAGTACACGTGCACCTTAGTGGCTCTAAACAAAAAATTGCCCTTTCTCTTTCCCTTATTCTCTTTTCTCCCACCACTTACTGTAACCTAAAATTACACCCTGTCTCTCTCTCTATATATATACATACACACACGTGAAAACATACACTACATAACATATATATACACTACATATATTTTTACATATACTTGTTTATAGTCTGTTTCTCCCTCTTGATTATAAACTCTTTGATGGCATCGATTTCGTATAATTTGTTTACCACTATCTCCCTGTAGCAGAAACTGCATACAGGTACCAATTACCCATTTTCCTCTTTTCCCTCTTGTTAACAGAACCTCCAATTTTTAGCTAGGCACCTGGATTTCCTAAGGTCCCTTGTAGCTAGGTGTAGCCATATTGCCAAATTCTGGACAATGGGATATGAGCAGAAGTGATGTGTACAATTTCTAGGTTGTGCCTTTAAAGGGAAAAGGTGTACCCTTCTCAGCCCCCTCCCTCCTTCAGGTTGACTGGAAAGCAAGTATGTGGTAAGCCACCTTGAATCGTGTGGACAAAGGCAAGCAAGACCTAGAAAATAGAAGAAGAAGAAAAAAAAACCCATTGCATTGCTAATAACTTCACAGAGCAGAGCCATCCTAACAACCTGGACTTCTATCTTGTTTAAGCTGTTTGTTTTCTTCCTGATCTCTCTCACATGCACTAATCACATATAATACCACCTAGAAAAAGGTCTTGCAAAAGAAGGCCTAGATAAATATTTTTAAAAGATTTTATTATTTATTTTCAGAGAGAGAGAAAAAGAGAGAGAATGAGAGGGTAGGAAACGGGGATCAGCTGCCTCTCGCATGCCCGAAGTGGAGACCTGGCCCGTAACCCAGGCATGTGCCCTGACCAGGAATCAAACCAGTGACTTTTTGGATCGCAGGCCATCACTGAGCCACATCAGCCATGGCAGGCCTCAATAAATATTAAATTTACAAGTAAATTAATCAACCCTTCCAGAACCCTTGAGTACGGTTTACCTCTAGTTACACTAAGAAAGTCAAATTCCTAAACCTGTAAAACTATGGCTCAGATCTACATCTAATACTGAGCCTAAACCTTTGGGCCCTGGCTGAGCAATAAAAAAGTGTCCCTATAATTTTTAACATTTGCCTCTCTAAACTACAATGACTTAATTTTGCATATTACCTCTCTAATTTATGTAAAACTAATGGATATATCATTGGTTATAATGAAATGCCTACTTTTTCTGGGAGTATTAATGTCATTTAAAGACTCGTAAATGATAAATTTTAGTATTAGTAAAAACATTAATAGATTGTTGCAAGCAATACAGGTCATAAAATACAAAGTAAAAAAGGTAATGTAACTTTAAAAAAAAATGAATCAAAATGCAGACAACAATATCAAAAAAGATTCACGTTTTTCCTCAAATGAACAAGCAGCAGAGTAAGGGCTTTTTATGAGTGACCATATTAAATCAAGCTCAGTTATTTCATTTAAGCCCTACAGCAACTCAAAAGCTAATGAAAATGAAAAACATGTCAAAACAAACTCAGATCATTTTTGTCTATCATACTGCTACTCTTCTCTCTCAGTGGCTGTATTACCACCAGAACATGTGAAAGGATAGGCAGACAGACTGCCTGGAACACTGGAAGAAATTAAGTGGCTCCCGTGTTAAAATCACAAGGAAAAGACGAAGAAAACTGAGGAGACATCTAACCTGGTATCTTTTGAGCTGATAAATGAACACCAAAGACACCCTCAACTCTAGGCTTATTTACATAACAAAAAGAAACCCTTGTTTGGTCAAATAACCAATATTTGGATTTTCTGTTACATGCAGCCCAACCCTTTCAGGTTTTACAATCCAGAAAATTGTAAACAATCATAATTCACTTTCCAATATGTAGCAGAAGCTACTAACATCATTTTTGTGGTTATTGTTTAGCCTGCTTTATCCTAACAGATAAGACTTATGTGAAATTTATGTGATTTACATCTATTGAAACGCCATTCTGATTCAAAACAGCATTAACATTCAATACACACAAGCAAGGTGTTTGAACGCAACAGAAGAATGGTAAAAATCCAAACTAAACTCAGTCATTTAACAAATACTAGGTCCTATTAATGCCAGAGACTGGGTCCTAAGGTTTACCAAAGGAAATAGAAGCATGTTCCCCCTGCCCTTATTAACCTTACAATTAAGTAGATAATCAGACAAACCTGCATTAGCCAAGTTAAAGCCAAGAACTGAATGAGAACGTATTCTGTAACTACAGAGCTATTGTTTTATTTTTTTTAAATCCTCACCCGAGGAAATGTTCATTGATTTTTAGAGAGAAAGGAAGGGAGACAGGAAGAGAGGGAGAGATGGAAAGATCGAGAGAGAGAAACACCGACTGATTGCCTCCCATTCGTGCCCCAACCAGGATCAAACCTGCAACCTACATATGTGCCCTGACCCAGGGATCAAACCCACAACCTTTTGGTATGTGGGTCAATGCTCCAATCAACTAAGCCATCTGGCCAGAGCAGAGATTTTGTTGTTGTTGTTGTTGTTGTTGTTGTTTTTTAAGATTCTATTTATTTAGAGAGAAGGGAAGGGAGGGAGGGAAAGAAATATCAATGTGTGATTGTCTCTCACGTGCCCCCTACTGGGGACCTGGCCCTCAACCCAGGCTTGTGCCCTGACTGGAAATCAAACTGGTGACCCTTTGGTTCACAGGTCAGCACTAAATCCACTGAGCCACACCAGCCAGGGCTAGAGAGATATTCTTTTAAAATACACTAGGAACCCCCTAGAAATGTGGGTAAAAGATACGTACAAACCTTTTAGGTATATCTCATATCACATTTTTAATTACACCAAGTCCCAATACAGTATGCCGACAACTATTTTTCCCTAAGAAAAAATATGGCATTGAAAATGCAAAAGGATTCATAGTTAAGCCTTAGAATTTCCAAGTACTTACTGTTTCAAAGCTGCCTTTATGCATCAAATCAATGGGTGGCCGGAATAGATCTGCAAGGGTAGTTAGTTTCTTATCTATGGCTCCTCCATTTCTTAATTCCTGTTCTTGCCGAACTGCAACATAAGAGGATGAGAAAGTTTCAATTAACCATAATATAAAAGGCACTAACCTCGCAATATAAAAAACATGTATCAATTTACAAGAATTGCTTAACCTCAAATGCAAATATTAAATGCTGATTCTGAAAATAATACAAAGCAAGGTGGGGAGTGAGTCTTAAGACTTGGTGGTGGCTTTCTACCCAATGGTAAGGATAAAAGCAGAAATTTATATAGAGTCACACAATCAAAATATATTTCCTTCACATAGTCGAAACTAAATTTAGCATGAGAAAGCTTTCAATTCCATTTATCTAGCTCGGAAAGTCATCCTAATTTCTAGCTGTTGTTTCTAGCTATATTTCCAATCTTTAAAGTGTCTGGCAGTGAGCAAGAATGACCACTGCTATCACCTTCTCCTGCAGGGCACAGGATTCCTTGGATGACTTGGGTCAGTTTGGGTTCCCCTTCAACACTCTCCAAAGTTACAAGACCTACCTGTGCTTCAATGAGCTCATTATAAATCAGCTACAAAATCAAACACAGTCCAAGAGTTTCTCATATATTCTCTAAACATAACTGTCCTTTCCTTTAAAATTTCATTGCTAAACCAGTACTAATTTCTCTAAAAGTGTAAGGTCAAGGTTCTCATTCTAACTTATTCCACAGAAAGATATAAACCTATTCTAAATAACTGTAGCCAAAATATTAACACTGGAGCTGCTTTGAGTGGTGTAGCTTTTTCTTCTATTTTTCAATTGCCTTACAATTAACCATTTTCATTGTGGTCTTTAAGAGACAGATACCAGGATCTTGAGGCAAATCAGTTTTTTATTTGATGATAGTATTTTAGTGCCAATTTGAAAGCTGATTAAGTTTAATAAATTACCTAATTTTTACATTATCTCCATCTCTCTTATTCTTCTATCACCAAGTAGGTTAAAACTTGGAACTATTCAGCTCTGGGGAAATTAATAATAATCACAGACTAAATTCATAATTTTACTTTTCAAAAAAATATTATTTATTGATTTTAGAGGGAGAGGAAGGTAGAAAGGAAGGAGGGAGGGGGAGAGAGAGAGATGGGTGATGGGAGAGAAACATTGCTCTGTTGCTCTACCCATGCATGCACTCACTCATTGGTTGCCTCCTGTATGTGCCCTGACCAGGGATTGAACCCACAACCTTGCTGTACCAGGACACTGCTCTAACGAACTGGGCTACGTGGCGAGGGCATAATTTTACTTTTTCAATAAGGTGAGTCCTCAAAGTAATTAGACATCATATTAATAATCTTTTCTTTTTAAGAAAAAGTATATGAAACAAACTAAGATCTTGACCCGTAGGGAAGTTATGAGTGCTTTTCCACCTTGTGGTTTTGTATGTGGGGAGAGAAGGGAAAGGAAAGAAGAGGAAGACAAAGAGAAGAGACAGAAAGAAACAGAGAAAGACATATAGAGGATAAACTGATCCATAGATACCTACTAGTTTCAGTTTGAAAATCCCGGAAACCATCAAATATTGAACGTGCAGGCCGCCGTCTTTTAGGAGCTTTAGGGCGAAAAATAGAATTGATACAAAAATTTAAAAATTAATTTTGAAACAATTTTAAAAACTTCCTTATCTATAGTAATTCTTGTTTTGAAACACTCATAGAATCACACTGGTGCTCTCCAAAAAATAAAGTATTTTAAAACCTTCAAGCCATTCATACATAATCAAACATCTTCAGCCCACCCATCTTGTTTTACAAATGAAAACATTAAGGCCCAGTTAAGGAGACTTGACAAAACCTGTGTAAAATATAGGACAAAAGAAGATTTCTAAAGGATGAATCCCTATAGAGATGAAGCTACAAATGCTGCCAATATCTAATTCAGTTTAGCCTAAGCAAGAAGCTATTTCAACTAGTGCGCTGCAAGAATTTTTAAAACATGCAATGCCTATTTAGTCAGGAGCACTGACCTCTTTTCCCTTAGATTGTCAAATAAAAAATGACAACAGCCAACAACACAACAATAGCCATCTTGTGTGAGTGAATCAAAATTATACCTATTTTATTTTTTTGTCAGCTCAGCAAAATATATTTTTTGGTGTGCTGCAGAATTTTAGTAATTAGTTTACATGTGCCAGAAAATTGCTGTATAATACTTCATAATTAAGTTCTAAACCATAATACTTTAAAATTACTGCTTAGTAAATGGATATACGTGTAAAACTATAAATACCAACATACATTTTTAATTTTGGAAGAAAAATTTTCTCCAGTTACATAATGCTTTAGTAACAGAAAAGTGAAGAGAGCCAAGGTCTTCTGATACCCCTGTACAGTGTCTATTACCCTATCCTGAAGTATTCTACAAATGAAATCTAAAAAGCAATAGCCAAAATGTTATTTTTCTGTTTGTACATGTTCTCAAACAAAAAAATCTGCCAGATCATTTATATGTATTACAATAAATAAGGACATTCAATGACTCCCAATATGAGTAACAGTCATTAAGTTGGTTTACTGCATTCCTGGCTAACATGTAATCAGAACAGTATTCCACGTTATTAATAAATGATGATTGTTAGTAAGATTAGACAGAAGTGTAAAAGTCTTCCACCCCACACCAAACATCTATGCCAATAGCCTGTGTTTATTATTATATAGGATAATTCTTTCTATTGAAGAACTATTAAGAAAAAAAAAAAAGCAAAAAACAAAAAATGCAGAAAGAACTACATGTAAAAAAAATCTCATTTTTATTTAAAGCATTATCTGGCAGTATATCATTTGTGCACATACATATATAAGTATTTATATTAAAAAAGCATAATATCCTTAGCAAAGGGATATGGTTAAAAAAATTCATGTTTTAGTTTTGAATTTTTAAACTTAAAATGAATTTTGGTTCATTTGGTATTCCATTTATTTAAATTCAAAGTTTTAGAAATTTAATATTGCATTATTTTCCCCCTTCTTCCATTCCTTTATAAAGAATCGAGAAATGTTATTCTTTTCAATCTCCAAACTATTTTTAATCAAGAGGTCCTATTTCAAATGTATGTTATTAGCAGAAATAATAGTCTTTCAAGAATGTCTTCTTAAGCCCTGGCTGGTGTGGCTCAGTGGCTTGGACACCGGGCCTGCAAACCTAAAGGTTGCCAGTTCAATTCCTAGTCAGGGCACCCAGTCATGGCTGGGTTGAGGGCCAGGTCCCCTGCTGGGGGTATAAGACAGGCAACCAATCTGTTTCTCTCCATCTCTTTCTCCCTTCCTTCTCCTCTCTCTTAAAATAAATAAATAAAATATTTTTTTAAAATGTCATCTTAAAACTTGTTATCAGATACTTTTCAACTGTAATAATTAAGGAAGTAAGAGTACCTTATAATAAGACAGAATAGCTACCTAAGACAGCATGTTACTATTGGGGAGGTAGTACATAAAGGTTGTCTTCATAGACTTCTAAATTGCCAATGGCCTGCTCCCCTCCCACTCTCCCTTTCTCCCCCACCCACCCTCAATTTAGCCTTTCTTTATCAGGCATGTGATCTCCTGGCTCTCACTAGGAGGAATCCTCACTAGTTCCTCTTATTGCTAGCATTCTACCCAACCCCTTTTATTTCGTGGGCTCAAGAGCTTGCTCCCAACCGTTTCCTCTTCATTTGCCCTATGTCTAACCAAGAGCCTCTCCACAGCACACCACCTCTAGCCCTAGAACAGTTATTATTTCTGCCTACCTCTTCAGTATGTGTTTTCATGACTCTTCCAGACCATATGCTATAACCAAACAACAGTCATCCATACTCTCACTTTGTTGCCTACATAATAGGAGTGCTGGTTGCTGAGGCTAAAAAGGCTAACCTACAAAGAGCTGAAAAGAGCTTCATTCATAGTTAGGAGAGTGGGGCAGGTGGAGAAAAAAATTTACTAGAAGAGTAACACTTTTCACATTTTCACAAATCTGTTAACAACTGGTTTAAGAGACAATATTTGGACTTTCAGATGTGCTTTTGCATTCTATTATGCAATCTGCTGCTCTTCCTTTATTTCAAGTATATGAAGAAATTTAAAATTCAATCTTGCATAGATACATAGTTGTAAAAGGGGGTATTTTAATAGTATTTTAAGATAACTGTGAATATTCTCCTCTGATATTACAACAAAAATCAACCAGTGGTAGTTTCTTAAAGATTAGTTGAAATGTGGAATCTGAAATCTTATCAATGAACTTTTCATATGCTACTGCATTAAAATCTATAGGTCTATGGGGTAGGCAGTCTCTGAGATGGACCCCAATTATCTCTGTCCTTCAGTATTCATAACCTGTGTGTGAGTAACTTGAATATGAGCAGAATCAAACAGAATGTGGCAGAGGTGACAGGACTGGATGGTATGTCACTTCCAATATTAGATTTAAAAAGATGGTGGCTTGCATCTCGGGATGCCCCCTCTGGTTTTTTCATCTGCTCTGTAGTAGGGACCTGATGTCTCCAACTAACCCACAACCACGTTAGTGGGCTCAGAAAGCGAGATCCTCCTCTATTCAAGCTATGAGATGACTGTAGCCCTGGCTGATACCTTGATTACACCTTTTTGAGAGACCTTAGCCAAAGGCACTTGGCTAAGCCACACCTGGTGGCTGACCCACAAAAACTGAGAACAAATGTTTGTTGTTTCAGAACACTGAATTTTGGAGCAATCTGTTACACGGCAATAGATACCTAATCTCTCTCTATATATACAATCCACCTTACAATATGAACAGATTACCCAGGCACAATTTTGCAATATCATGCATTGGCCTTTTGAGAATATTTGTTCAATGAGTTATGCATACGTTCCAAATATTGACCATTTCATTATATTTTAAAAATCATCATCTGTTAATGTCACCAATAATATCAGAAAGTCTTTAAGTAATGACGTGTTATCAAGCTCACAATTGTGTATACAAACTTTCTAAAATCCCAATTTCTGCCTGAAAGCTTTTTAAAAAAAATTACTGGTAATAAATTATATCAACTGTTTGCCTTGAAGCAGTAAAAGCTTTTGCTCATTTTCAAAAAAATGTCTGCCACCCAGACCGGCATAGCTCAGTTGGCTGGAGGTCATCCCAAAAAGCGAAAAAGGTCGTGGGTTCAATTCCCAGTCAGAGCACATGCCTAAGTTATGGCTTTGATCCCCGATCGGGGTGCATATGAGAGGCAACTGGTTGATGTCTCTCTCTCACATTGATGTTTCTCTCCCCCTCTTTCTCCCTCCCTTCCCTCTCTCTAAAAATAAATGAATAAAATCTTCAAAAAAAAAGTCTGCCAAATGCCTAAATCTAAATAACTTTAAGTCTGTCTGAAAGAAAAAATAAATGGGACTATATCAAACTAAGAATGTTTTTCATAACAAAGGAAACCATCAACAAAGAAATAAAACAAAAAAGACAATCTACTGAATGGGAGAAGATATTCACCAATGATATATGTTAAGGGATTAGTACCCAAATTTTATAAAGAACCTACAACTCAACACCAAAATTAAAAAAAAAAAAAAATGCAATTGAAAAATGGGCAGGATCTATGCACAGACACTTCTCCAAAGAGGATAAACAGATGGCCAATAGACGTATTAAAAGATGCTCAATATCATTAATCATCAGAAAAATGAAAATTAAAACCACAATATATCACCTCACAACCTGTCAGACTGGCTATCAATAATAAATCCACAGCCCTGGCTGGCTGCATCAGCAGGCTGAGTGCCCACCTGCAATCTGAAAGTCAGAGGTTCAATTTCCGGTCAAGGCACATGCCTGGACTGCAGGCCAGGCCCCCAGCTTGGGGGTGGGGGAGGGATGTATGTGAGAGGCAACAAATCAATGTTTCTCTAGCACACCAATGTTTCCCTCTCTTTGTCCCTCCCTCACTCTCTTTCAAATAAATAAATAAATAAACCCACGAACAGCAAGTATTGACAAGGATATGGAGAAAAGGGAAACCTCATGCACCTTTGGTGGGAATGCAGATTGGTGCAGCCACTATGGAAAACAGTATGGAGACTCCTCAAAATTTTAAAAATGGAACTGACTTGTTACCCAGCAATTCTACTTCTGAGTATATATCCAAAGAAATCCAAAACACTAGTTGGAAAGAATGTATGCACCCCCATGTTCATTTCAGCGTTATTTACAATAGCCAAGATATGGAAGCAATCTAAATGACCATCAACAGCCAAATGGATAAAAAAAACCTTGGCGCGCGTGCACACACACACACAATGGATCATTATTCAGCTGTAAAAAAAAAAAAAAAAAAAAAAAAAAGGAATGAAATCTTACCATCTGAGACAGCACAGATGGACCTAGGTATTATGCTAAATGAAATAAATGAGTCAGAGAAAGACAAATGCCATATAATTTTACCTACATGTGGAATCTAAGGAACAAAATAAAAGAACAAACAAAATTAAAATAGATTCACAAACACAGAAAACAGACTGATGGTTGCCAGAGGGAAAGGATTCTTGGGTAACTGGGTGAAAAAGGTGAAGGGATTACGAAGTACAAACTGGTCGTTCCAAAATAGTCACAGAGACATAAAGTCCAACAGGGTATATAGTCAATAATACTGTAATAACTATATATGCAGTGCCAGGTGGCCACTGGAAATACTAGAGGGAACACTGTGTAAAGGATACGATTAGCTAACCACTATGCTGTACACCTGAAACTAATACATAGTACTACTGAATGTAAACTATAATTAAAAAATAAAATTAAAAGGAAATGGAATTTTAAAATATAGTTTGTCAGCGATCTATCAAATAAAAATAATGCTCCATTAAAAAAAAAAAAAAAAGCAGCTAGTTTAGTTTGCAACTCAAAGAACTGTAGGAGAACTTTTCCTTAGCCCTTGCCAGGTAGTTCAGTTGGTTAGTCTATGATCTCGATATGCTAAGGTTGCAGGTTTGATCCCTGGTCAGGGCACATACAAGAACACAAGAATCAACCAATTAATGCATAAAAAAGGAGAACAACAAATCGATGTTTCTCTCCCTCCCTCTAAAATCAATCAATCAATCAATCAATCAATCAACATTTTTAAACAGCGTTTCCTTAAGACGACAGTACTTTCAGTATGTAGAAGTGTTTACATGCATCCTATTTCATCTAACAGAATAGTTTAAAAATATGTATTAAATGATTAAGGTTAATTAAATTAATTTTTATAGTTTTATCAGAAATATTATTTAATAAAATTGGCTTTTTATTAAAAACTGCCAGTGTGCGGCAGTGAAGAATTCAATGAGTAGTAGTTTAGTTTTGTACCACTGTCCCAATTCCATTAAGATACAGCAGTTTGACCCATCGTTGCTTTTGAACTATCAGTCCAAATATCAACACAGTGCAAAGGGCAAATAACTTCTTAGTATTATTATGAAGTTGTTTTGATCTTACAGACCCCTGACCACATTTTAAGAATCATACTTATTCTTAATGTCCTAATACTGTCCTAAAAAGAAATAGAGGACCTTTCTTAAGTTATGATAAGGTCTAATAATGACAATTCAGTTTGACTTCCTAACTGTATAAAGTCATTCTCATCCTCCTCTTAATGTATATCAAACAAGACGTAAGATGAGGAAAATGGGATTTCAAGTGGGAACCCTTTTGTCTCTGTTCCACAGTAAAACAGCACAGAATCTATTTCCTATAGTCTTCTCCATTCAAAGATCCTGCCTTCTTCCTTGCAATAAAGAAAACAAAAAGCTTTCAAGGGTATTACTCCACAGCTCTAAAAACATTCATAATATTTATATTTTAAAAAATCATTTGCTTTATTATTTCTGGTGTATTAACAACACAATGGCTGGCTCAATCGAACAATGCAGAAAGCGCATGTTATACTTCAATATTCAGATCTTACCATTTTCTTCCTTCCACCTCTATTTCTGAATCTAGATGGTATATTCTTTTATTTCTTGCTACAGTAAAGCCCAAAGCTAAAGATGAACCTTAAAAACTCTCAATTAAGGTGCTTTTTCAAATCAAAAGATATCATTTATACAAAACTGGCAAACAAAATGGAAACAGACTCATAGATACAGAGAATAGACTGACAGCTGTCAGAGGGAGGGGTTGGGGTGCTGTGTGAAAAAGGTAAAGGAATTAAGGGAAAAAAAACCCTCACAGACACAGACAACAATATGGTGATTACCATAGGGAAAGTGGAGTGGGGAGAGGTTGGAAAGGGTAAAGGGGGGATAAATAAGAGATGGAAGGAGACTTGACTTGGGGTGATGAATGCATAATATACAGATGATGTATTATACAATTGTACCCCTGAACATTTTATTAAACAATATCACTCCAATAAATTTAATTTTAAAAAAAGGATATGGTTTATATAATTTTCTTCATCCCTGTGTTACAACTTACTTGTTCTCCTTTAGTCTAGTGTACCAATAAAACTTTTTATAGGCCCATTTCTCTGAATTATTGTTCTCAATATGTACCATTACATTTCTATACATTTGTCTGTCCAACTAGATTACTTTCTCTTCTATTTTTAAATATTCCTATTAATACCTAAAATATTTGGCTCAAAAAAAGTGTTTAAAACTAAAACTGTAAAATGTCTTTAAATATGATTAAACATCCTATTTTTACCATGTTATCTATGCACCCAGATTAACAGACTTTTTTTTTTTGCATGGATTAGCTATAACTAACTTTCTCCTTTGGTCAAAATAGGAAAAGCATGTCTAGAAATTAAGAGTGAAAGTAAGGCATATCACGACAGTGAGAATATGGCAGTCAGGTAGGTATCCAGAACACAAAAATAACTGGAGTCTTTTCTCTAGTGACAGACTGACTGATTTCCATTACAAGGCAGCAGTTTCTGATTTTCCTCCCTTTGGCCTTCTGCAACAAATACCAACTTTTAAATCTGGTTCACTCCTTGGAAAGACCAATTATGTAACTTTCCTGAGAAGAGTACACAATTATAAGAATTGACTCTATACTTGAAGTAACAATCTGAGCAAGCCTTCCCATCTTTTGATAGCTTTATTAAAATTCTAAAAATAAATAAATCTTTAAAAAAATAAAATAAAACCCTAAAGATAACAACAAAGTCAAATAAAGCTAAGAAAAAAGGGGAACTTACCACCAAACAAAGGTTCTGGTTCCACCAATATTTCCTGCTTTTGAGGAATTGGAGCACGAACTTCTTCTCTATTCAAAAAAAGTGGGAAAATATCAAAATGAAAAGTATTTTTTGCTACTTGTTCCTTCTGTGACTACTTTGAATGAATTCAAATTAATAAACAAAATGAACACCAGATTTAACTTTCAGGAACCACAGTGATGAATGATGTTTCCATATACAGATCAATTGGAATAAAGTACAGGGTAATTCAAATGATTTATAAAGAGAGAGAACAAAGTATTTCTCCTTCCCTCTCAAGTTCCCTGCCTTAAATTCTTTTAAAAAATAAATGGCGGGGAGAGGGGCAATTACAAAAAAAAAATCACATCTTGGCTAGAGTCATGCTAACACACCAATGGTGTGGGTTCCATCCCCACTCAAAACACATGTAATAATCAACCAATGGCCCCAGTTAGTATGGCTCAACTGGATGGGTACTGTCCTGAAAACAGAAAGGTCACTTGTTCAATTTCCAGTCAGGGCACAAGTTGCAGGTTTGGTCCCCAGTCAAGGCATGTACAAAAGGCAGCCAATTGATGTTTCTCTCTCACATTGATGTGTCTCTCTCGCTCTCCTTCTACCTCCCTTCCCCCCTCTAAAAAAAAAAAAAAAAAAAAAAAAAAAGGCCTGACCAATGAATGCATATGTAAGTGGAACAACAAATCACTGTTTCTCTCTCTCTCTAAAAAGCAGTATTTTCAAATAAAAATTTTTAAAATCAGGCAAAAAATTATTGAAAAATATTGGCTTAATAAAAGCACTATTACTACCACATCAAATAAATTACACAGCTACATTAAAATAAGCTTAACCTAAAATGAAGTGAATTTTATGCTAGTTATGAAGATGGCTAACATAGGTATTACCTTGGATTATTTATTAAATAGATCCTACTATCTACAGAACAGAAAAAATAATTACTCCATTTTTTAAAATTGATTTTTAGAGAAAGGGTAAGGGAGGAAGAATGGAAAGAAACATTGAGGTGCAAGAGAAACATCAGTTGCCTCTCGCAAGCCCCCAACAAGGGACCTGGCCTACAACCTAGGCAGGTGCCCTGACCAGAAATCAAAGCTGTGACCTTTCTGTTTGCAGAACGATGCCCAACCGACTAAGCCACACCAGTCAGGCCAATTGCTCATCTTTTAAAAGCCTATAAACTCTTCAAAGTTTACCTCTAGAGGGTTTAATAATAATCCATGCCTTCCAGTAAAAAACAAAACAAACAAAAATCCTCATTTTGATATATTGTAAAAATGGTGTATGTTCAAGTGTCAGTTTATTTTATAGTTTTAACTCAAATATTAAATTCTGTTAATTAACGTTCATAGCAAATAGTAAGTTCCAAATTTATTATTATTCCTGCTTTTAATGTTAATTTAAGTTAGGCCCTACATTTTTCTTTCAGGTGTTTCGTAGTAATAACTGAACATAAGGCACTGTTTTTTGATATCTAAGAGTGAAAACTCCAACATATACCTTTATGAAACAATGTATAAACATTCATTTGTCAACAAGAACTAACATCCAGTAATCAAATAACTAGACAAAGAAATATACAATAAGCTAAATGACTTTAGGATAGAAAAATAATGCAAAATTATATTAAATACTCTTTCCTACTAGGTATCAGTCCAGTCACTACTTAAATAGAGAATTTCAATAATCTGAAGGAACAGACAATGTGGCTGTAAGAGGAAGCTCTATTAATCCTCTTTCATCAAAGAAAAACAGGTCATTATCTTAAGAAAACTAAGAATTTAAAAGGTATCTTTTACCTAAATAAACTTTCCATTATTGGTTTACTTCATTTTTACATTTATATATAATTATCTCAATCAGTAGTAGTCCCTATACCAAAAGGATTACTACATATTTGAGGGTATCTTTTCCAAGATTTTTAACTACCTAAGAAGATGGAAGAATAAAACAGAAAAGGTAAACTGTAAAGAGTGAAAATTATAGTTTAGAAATTAGGAGCCACTATCAAATGTTAACCAATTAGCAATACAAACAGTCTAATTAATATGTAATTATAATGTAATTCAGGCCCTGACTGGTGTGGCTCAGTTGGTTGGGCGTCGTCCCACAAAGAGAAAGGTCGTGGGTTTGATTTCCATTCAGGGCACACGCCTGGGTTTCAGGTTCTGTCCCCAGTTGAGATGAGTATGAGAGGCAGACCAATCGATGTTTCTCTCTGACACAGATGTTTCTCTCCCTCTCTCTTTCTCTTCCCCTCTCTCTAAAAATAAATAAGTAAAATATTTTTTAAAAATTATAATGCAATTCAGTAGGGAAAGATATTCATAGGTCAAAACTATTTATAAACACAGTTTAAAAAATATGTTTTATATAGTATGGATGGATAGGTTCTCCCATATCTGCTGTTAATACCTGTTATTCAAGTTCCTGTAAGCTAAATCATGTTTTAGTAATGATTTACATGTTATGTTAATGGAGAATGGGATATCACACCTGAAATACATGGTTAACATTGACAAGAAAAAACTTTACAAAACATTAACAACGATCTCTGAAATTCATGCTTCATGTGGAAACAATATTACTCTAGATTCTGGAACTGTGTCAATAAAAGAGGCAGGAGTGTCCTGAATGTTATTCAGCCTCTTAAAACTATGTCTAATTTAGTAAAAATAAAATCCATGTCTTTTGCCTATCCATATTTAAGAGGATTCCTCTATTTTGTATTTCATGTTAAAAACACTGGGTAATAAAGGACTACAAGTATTAAAGCATTATTTAAGAATCTTTTAAATTTTGTGTTTTTTTTAAAACAAAGTCAGTCAATGGTTTTCCTTTGAGTGATGTTCATTTCTAGTATTTTCCAGACTGTTGGAATTTTGCCCAAAAGATAAAGTCAGTTCCAACTCCCACTGGTATCAGATGTAAAGGGCAAAAAAACCCAAATCTGTTTACCATTTATTACTATTCCCTATATAGTACAGTTCCATATGCTGAAGGTGCTTCTAATAATTAACTACGTTGTAACTATTTAAGGTATAAAGGACTACAATTATTTTTCAAAAATTTTTCATGGTACAGTTGCAGGTTTAATCTCCAGTCAGGACACATACAAGACTCAATCAATATACAACAACTTAATTGATGTTTCTCTCTCTTCCTCTTTCTCTCTAAAATCAATTAAAAAAATTTTTTCACAACAATGAAAAATGGGACAATGTAAGCAAAATGTAGCATTGGGAAATCTGAGCTTTATTGGGCTTCACTTCCATATCTGCTATTTAATTGCTGTGTACCTTGGGAAAATGGCCATGCCTCTACTTCCTCATGTCTAAAATGTGGATAATGCCATCCTATGGGGTTGTTTTGAGGATTAAATAACAGACATGACAGAGTCTTAGAGAATTTAAAATACGTAAGTGTAAAAATTTCTATTTGATACTTTTTCAAATACTTTAAGCACATAATTTTTTTCAAAAACAGAGAATTAACCTGATAAAAAAAGCAACTACTTGATTTGGGCAGGAGGTTGCTCCTAACAAGAAATAATAAATTCATACTCTGTGTGTGGTCTAACAGTGGAGACACTTGCTGAACTGGTACTGGGCTCTTCAGCGATTCCACCACCATCCAAAAACATTGTGACTGCCATCTCCAAATTATTGTTGCAGGCTTCAAGCATGTGTTTCCCTACACTTTCACTTGCACCTGAAATATAAAACAAAAAGGAAAAATATTTTTAAAAAGGCACCTTCTTATATTCAGTTCTAATAAGAATACAGAATTCCCAGGCAAATTAATATATTTTCCCTTTAAGAATGAATGATTTTAGGCCCTGGCTGAGTAGCTCAGTAGGTGTAATCCTGAAACACCAAGGTTGTGGGTTCGATCCCTGGTCAGGGCATGGCACATATAAGAATCAACCAATGAATGTAAAAATAAGTGAAACAACAAATCAGTGTTTTCCTCTCTCCCTTCCTCTAAGAAAATCAGTTTAAAAAAATGAATGACTTAAAAAAACTGTTTAAACTTCTACACTGTTGCTATAGTGTGAACATATACAGAGCTAGAAAAATAGCAGCTTTAAAACAGTAGTAGTCTTCCTTCATAATAAAACAAAAACTAAATAAAGCATTTACCTGACATTTTTTACAAGGGACCAACTATATATCCGTTAATAAACCAAAAAAAGATAAAGAATTACATTCTAGAAAGCTGGAGATTGTTAGGAAGAATGCATTTCATTTCTATTAAAAATAAAACATTTTTTGTAACAGTGGGAGAGACGTGAAAGAGAACATTTTTGTCATAAGATATAACAAAACCTGGTAAGAAATGTCAATCTCAGTCATGTAAAACTGCCCTTATCACACACTTAACAATATAAATTAGGAAAGCAATTTTACAGCATGTACCAAGAAACAAAAATACTCGTTCCTTTTTTGACCCAGTAATTTGAGCTTCTAGTCAAGACTTATTCTTTTATTATTTACTCTACATAAAATAATACGTGCATAAACATGTCCATATATATGCAGTATAACTTCAGCTAATATGAAAAATCAGTAACATAAATATCAAATAGTAGAATCTGAATTATAGAATCTACTTGTTGAAACATTTTGTGGTCATTAAAAAGTACCACAGGCTTTCCATTTGGGATGACTCCTTCTACCTGAATGATGTCCCTTACGATCCACTTCATTGAGGTCTGTTGGTTTTATGGGGGAGGGGGGGGGCGGGAAGAAGTGGTATGTGTTTTGCGAGGGGGGAGGCAAGGGGTAGAAGGGGTCTGAAAGACAGTTTTACCAAATATGTGTTCTATTTTGAGACTGACAGCTATTTTCTCTAAGTACATTGAAGATAGCATTCCAACATCCTCTGGCTTGTTGTTGCTGCTAGGAAATCAGATGCTAAAGAAAAACATTTGTATAGCAATCTGCTGTTTCTCCCCAGTTGTTTTTAACATCTTCTCTGACTTTGGTCTTCTGCAGTTTCACTCTAATTTGTCAGGGTGTATTTTATTTGTCCTCCTTGGGATTCACTGGACTTCCACTATATGTAAGGACTGTTATCCTTTTTTTTTTTTTTTAAAGATTTTATTTATTTATTTTTTAGAGAGAGGAGAAGGGAGAAAGAAAGAGAGGGAGAGAAACATCAATCAGTTGTCTCTAGTACACACCCCAACCAGCGACTCAGGCAACCTGCAATGCAGGCAAGTACTCTGATCAGGAATCAAACCAGTGACCTTTCCCTTTGCAGGATGAAGCACAACCATCTGAGCCACACTGGTCAGGGCCTTTTTTTTAATACTCAGCTGATGATATGTTTTTTATGGGTTTTAGAGAGAGAGGAAGGGAAAGAGGGAGAGAGGAAAATCTATGTGAGAGAGAAACACCAATCAATGGCCTCCCATACGTGCCCCGACTGGGCACTGAACACGCAACCTTTTAAGTGTACCGGGACAATGCTCCAACCAACCGAGCCACCCAACCAGGTCAAGAACTGTTATCTTTTATCAATTCTGAAAAATTCTCAGCCTTTTCTATTTAACAATCACCTTACTCCTGTACTCACACTTACTTCCTTCTTAAACTCCAATTAGATGTATAACTCTTCACTCCAGGCTTGCTAATCTGTTTTTTATCTGCTCACTGAACTTTTAATTTCAGTTAATTTTTATAACTAGAAGTTCTATGTTTAATTTTTTTCCTAATCTGCTTGATTATGATGCAGAGACCCCTTACTTCACACTCATATTTCAATATTAATTATACTTATCAGAGTTACTAAGAAAAAAACCTTCTGCAGACTCTAGAGGGTCATTGTCTTGTTATTGCTGGCTCTTGCTTACTGTGCCATGGTTTTTTGAGCATTTTGTGATATATTTTTTTACTAAGATCTCGCATGCCGTAGAATTTTAATCTGTAGATTTTTAATCCTGGATTGAAGGTACCTTCCCGAGGATATGATTTAATAGATTTTGTAAGGCCATCTGTGGGCGCTACGAAACAGGAACCATTTCAAATACATTTTTGACTTGAAGTTTTATAAGACCATATGGGAAATGTGATTCTGTTATCAACTGTTATAAATTCTCAATGAAGTTATCTCCCGTCACTCCCCAACTACCAAGGCTGAAGCAATAAAGTCAACATCATGAAGGGGCAGAGATCTTCTTTCATACTCTTCTTCTTAGGGAGGCCACAGGCTTTGTTTCCTGCTTCTTGTGCCCTATCACACTGTTAAAAGAGGTCAACTCAATCCAGTTTGGGCAGCTGCCATCAGGCTAAAGGCTTGCTTTAAATCTAGATAATATTTGCATTCCCTATTTCATTTCATCTTTAGTCTTTATGTCATCCTTCCATTCTTGCCAGCCCAATGATACATTCTGAAAAAAAAATTTTTAATATACATTTTATTCAGGATTTTTTTCTCAGCAGGAGGGTTATCTGTGATATTTCTCTAGTTCAGCCCTGTTGCCAGAAAGGGAGGTGCTGACTCTACTCTCAATATTTCTCATGTTTTCTCTCCTACTATCTCCAAGGCTTTAAAGCAAAACCTTAATACATCTTACTTGGGAGGACTGCAATAGGCTCCTAACTGATCATCATTCTATCTTCCACCTGGCTGCTGCAGTTATGTTCAAAAATACAAGTCTGACTGTATCACACCAGTTTAAATTCTTTAATGACTTTCTGACACCCACAAAGTCCTTATGATATGGAAAGTTCTTTGTGATCAGGTCTGAGCTTATCTCTATGGCTTTGCCTCTCCTCTTCCCCATCCTACACAATTCAGTATAGTCACACTGAATTACATGCTTGGAATAGCCTTATCCTCCTCATCCCCCTCACCTACTTCATCTGGTTGATGCATGCTCATGAATCACTGTAAGTGTTACCATGTCCGTTTGTTTGCTAAGCATTCTCTACACTACCTCCCAATTCCCATCCCTTTGACATTCTCCAATATATAAATATGGACATACTACTAAGAAGTAAATGTTGGTTTACTTTCTGGCTCCTCCAAAAGAGAACCTTCTTATTTAATTTGATTTAGTTTTTTCCACCACCTACACCCTCTTCCATCTCACCCCACCCCCTGCAATCACCACACTCGTCGCCCGTGTCTATGAGTTCTAGGACAGGACAATAGTCCTGGGATTGGTTTTTATCTTGGTATCCCCCTCATCTAGCATGTTTGCTTGCATGTGACCAATGTATAATAAACTGACTTCGAGTTACTCATAGTACTTCAGCTCACCAGGGAAGGGCCAGGCTTCAGTCAAAACTCTTCTATATCCTTTGAATTTTATACTGTGTGCATATGTTCATGTTTTAAATTTCATTTATAAAGCAATATGGTTATACTGTGGAAATCAAAAACAGCAAGTGGGTACTTAGGATAAATGGAGTTAAGATAAAATTTCCAAAGAGAGCATCACATACAAATTTTAAGTGCTATATCTCAATGTAAAGTGACAATCAGGCAACCTGCTGGCCCTGAGGCCAGGCAGGGCAGGTGGTGAGGCGGCGTGATGGCAGCCAGCTCGGTCCTGATTGCGGAGCAGTGCCGGCTGCTCTGTCGCGTGCCTGTGGGCATAGGGGCGAGGGGTGCATCTGGCCAGGGCGTGCGGCTCTCAGAGGGCTGGTGTGGAACAAAAAGTGCGCGCTCCTGTGTGTTGCAAACACTTGCCGGGTTTGGGAAGTTGCTGTGTCATACACTTTCAACATGTTAAAAACCAAAAACCAAACCGAACACGCTCCTGTGTGGATAGTGCAATGCCATAAAGCTCTGGTTGTGCTGATGACACCACAGCATGAAGGTGCATTTCGTTTCAGAAATCGCAGCAATCTTAGAGATGAGATAAACAACTAGATGGGTCCCTTTTATGTGTATATAAAATGCTGAAATTGGTGTAGAGAATGTGTCCGAGGCGACTATGGGCAGGATGTGCGCTGCTTCTCCGAAAGATGTTCATGTCCTGGCCAGCCGCGGCCAGTCCTAGCCCACTCGGTGCTGAGAGGACTCACTTAGACCTTGTTTGTGATTTCTGAGATGCACAAAGGTGCTGATCACTTTATATTCCAGGAAATTCAATCAGTAATTCCTAGTTAACTCTTTTTCCAAGTATATTCAATGACTTCCAAGTAAATTTTTATTAAATTCATATCGACAGGGCTAGTTTCCCCGACTCTCTTACTCTTCAAATTTTGCTACTGGTAGCCTTGAATTACCACTTCTAGAAAGGGCAGGGACTATAAAAGAGAAATACAGCATGCTTATGTTTTTAAGTTGTTGATTGACATGTTTTCTTCCCTGCCATATTGCAGTAGCTGCAGGGACAAAGCCTGGCATCTTCAGGACTAAACCAATGTCCTGCACACCATTTGCTGTGTGAAATGAAGAGGACTGCCAACTAAAGACTAAGCTGCAATCAGCTGTGTTAGACTGGAGGAATCAGACTTAACCCACATGGACCTGCGGGGGGTGGGCGGTGACGGAAGCATTTTTATGCATTGGTAACTTTGCCAAACTCTCTAGTAATTCCACTGGTCTTTAAGTTCCTTTAGGGCAAGAATCATGTTATATTTATCTGCATATCCCTAGGCTGGCACTGTGCCCAGCACAGCAGGTACTGAATGAACAAACATACCTCTCTCCTCCCTTCAAAAGAAAAAAAAAATTCACATGCCCCAAAAAAC